AACTGGATGTATGAGATTGGTCCCTGGTCACATGGGAAACTATTGATTGGAGTAAACATTCTGTTTTCTAAAGATTTAATAATATGATCCAACAGAGCAGGTTGCAGAGAAGTTAGGGTTTTACAGTTCCGCAAATCAGGAGGAGCGGTTGTAAAGGAAAAGTTTGTATCCAGAGCTGATAGTAATTAATGTGGATGGTTGTAGGAGGTTATTTTAGCAGCCGCCTTAGCCATGTCACAGGAAAGTGGTAAGTTACTGCTGTGGCTTTGGACGGGTTGGGTGCTAACTGTCACCAAATATCGTGATCTATGCGGAAGCCTTCTGCTCTCAGAAGTGCCCAGGGAATGGGGGGATCCTGGACCATAAGACTGTCAGGGCCAGCTGTCCTGCTGTCTTGCATGGGACAGCTGACCCCAGGGGAAACATGAGCACTCCACGTTTATGAGAAGTCAGCCAAGTCGGGTGCAGGCGACAGATTATGGCATCTGGGTGCAGGTTTTCATTCTCTGTAAAACAAAACGAGATGAAATATACCTGAAGTAAACTATAGCCAAATACGGCTGGTTGATTTATACTGAATTATCTTATGATACATTATTGCCATTTTGTATCTAAAAATGTATAATTATATAGATCATTATATAGATGATCGAATAAGCTCGAAAATGCTGCATATGAGCAGATGTGCAAGGTACAAACCGGGCATTCGGTATGGATCAGGTAGTGATGGACACCCCCAGAAAGCCCTGCCCACTGCCCTGCTTTTTTCACAGCACATACACATTTGTTTGCAGAGGTATGTGGCCGCAATTTGACTCCATTTAACTTTTGAACAACGTAGCTGTTGCATACTTGTTGTTTTTATGTTTCAGGCACCTTGTAAATTACTCTTTTCTAAGAATTTTTTTTCTTATGTGATAACTATCTATTTTTTCCCCTTTGGAAACACTGATGTGAATAAAATTCATTCTGACTTTCTGTCCTGATTTATATTAAATATCAATTTTTTAAATCTATACAGTCACTTAAAATATCGCAATATTGTTTTTCAGCCTAATCTCCATTCCCTACAACCAAACAGAAACTTCTTTACCAACAGAGTGTGCCAGTTGTATAAGGTGTTGCTGCGAGTTGTCAACAGACACAAATCAGTGCCCACAAATGCAATGTGATTACTGGGCTTTAGATGATGGGCTTCAAAAATTGTCCAGATGCTGGTTTTACAATAGAATAAGGGTTTAGGCAAGGAAATGCTAAATATATACACATTACTAACTTTTGGGTTGTCACAGTCCACCTCTTATTAATATTTTAGGCATACTATTGTGGGTGCAAGTAAACACCTGTATTGTATGGAAAAAGCTGGCATCAGGACAGATCTTTATGCCTGTCATCTAAAGCCCTGGTTATTATTGTGCATGCGCACAAATTTTGCTTGTATCGCAGTGTGTTATCGTGCAGCCCTACTGCTAACAGTTCGCCTTGCTTTCGTCTGTTAGTTACACAGTCTTGTATCAGCCTGCGAAGCATGTATTCAAGGCCTCTGAGGCCTGTTTCACAAAGCAGATAACTTGTTGGATTTAAGGTAGCCTGGGTTAAATGCAAGTGAATGAAGATAAAGTCAATTTAGCCCAAAATACGTTAAATCTGACATTATCTGCATAACCAAGAAATTCTGCTTTGTGAAACAGGCCACTGTCCTTGATTCTGCTTGTCTCAGAATGTGCTGCTGTTGATTCCTTGACTTGTTTAGCAGGCTTAGCAGGACCCATTAACCCTGCTCTTTGTCTCTAATTGACGAGTTATTTTTAGCTGGGTACCATATTTCCTCAAATTAATGATGGATTTCAAATAATGGCCGGGGGTGTGGTTGACATGAACAAATATTGGCTGGGACACAAATGCAGGCCAGGAAAAAAACCCTGGGGGCTCATTTATAAACAATTTGGTCAAATGTTGGACAAAAAGAGTTTGAATGCACATTTATACAGTTTTTGGGATGTAATAAGAAACAACATAAACAAACATTCTCACATTTACCAAATGTCCAGAGCAATTGTACAAATGATTTGGAGGAAACTGAAAAGAGTAACATCCAGGTGTCAGAAATGTGTATTTAAATGGAATCTAGTCAGTTTCAGTGATTTGGTGAGAAAGGACTGCAGCCAAAACTTATTGAGAGTGTACAAGTTCAAAAATTCCAGTGATGGCATCTGTGCGACTGTATGATGATCATTAGGATGGTTTCTCTCCAGCATGGATACAGCATCAACGAATTGTGA